ATTTTATATCCTGTTAGAATGGTAAATTTATTGTTTTTGTTTTCTTGGGTTTTCTAGATGCATAATATATCATCTACAAATAGTTTTAATTCTTCCTTTTATGTCCTTAAGCCTCTATTTGCTTTCCCTTATATTATTGCATTGGCTAATTCCATTAATACAATGTTCAAATGGGTGTGAGCCACCACACCCAGAAGGTGACCTCGTCTCATTTCTGATTTTGACTATTGCCAGTAATTTACTGCTATGTCAGATGCTGACCTTTGAACTGAGAAAGAGACATTTTTGTCATGTTCATGATATGTGTATCAATTCCTATTTGTTGATGATTTCATTGGTAATAAAAAAAGTATTTTTTTTCTTTTTCTTTGGACGGGAGAATCACAAGGAATCAGGTGATCAGAGGAATGTATTGAGTAGAGATGAGGAACTAGGATGTTGAAAAGTAATAAAAGGAGAGAAGGAGAGGAAGAAAGAGGAAGAAAAAGAGGGAGAGAGGACAGGAATATTGCTTCATTCTAAAAATGGGTATTAATAATGGCTGATCAATATTTTGTGTATTTAAAATGGAGAACTCTATAAATATTTATTGAGTTTACTTGTTCCGGATCTGAATTGAAGTCCTGGATATCCTTATTAATTTTCTGTCTCGTTGAGTCTAAATCTCGTCATGGGTCTTATGTATCTGGGTATTAAGATCTCTTATTGTTGCATTGATCCTTTTACCATTGTATCTTTGTTGCTTTGAAATCTATTTTCTCAAATATGACAATTGCAACTCCTGCTTTTTGTTTATTTATTTCAAATAAATAAATAAATAAGCAAAAATAAATAAATAAGCAAAAATAAAAAAAGTGTTTATTTGCCAAATGAATTTTTAGGATCTCTGAGACACTATCAAGATATTTATCCTTAGATATAAGAATATGAGTAATTATATTAATGGATAATACTATATTGGAGGGTGCTTATACCCCTGAGTGAAAATTCTCTTGATTATGACATATCTTATTTTAATGTTAATGTTTTTGTGTTTTGAATATTTAGAACTTTTATGCATTAGTGTTTGCAGGTGTAACTGTTTGCCAATTTTATTTTGTGTACAATATTTATCAGGTTTAGCTATTTGCTTTAAAGTAATTTGGAGGTTTTACTCCTCATTTAAAAAATTTTTTTTTTAAATTATGGTCTGGAAATATCCACAGTAGCACTAGGATTATCTAGTCTTTACAGCTTTGAGACATTCTGCTGTGAATCCATCATGCTATGTTGTTTCTTAATAACTATTTAATAACTTTTTCTTTTTATAAAAAAAATTGGTTTCTTCTCTCATGTCTGGGCTCAGTATTAGCAAACGTTTTTCTTTTGTAAAAAATGATTTACTTCATGTAGTGAATTTAAAAAATTTATTTATTGTCTCAAGATAAGAAAAATTGATTTGGTGGTTTTTGTACTCTTGTCTCCTATTTCCTGTTTTTTTGTAACGTGGTTGTGTGATGTGTAATGAAATGTCTATTAAGTTGTTTTTGTTTGTTTGTTTCAGGGACAGGATCTTACAATGTTGTCCAGGCTGGCCTTAAACTTCTGGGCTCCAGTGATTCTCCTGTCTCAGGCTTCTGAGTAGCAGCTGGAAATATAGGTACGGAATGTACCACTGCATCTGCTCATCTGCTTTGGTTTTTATTTTTATTTTTTCATTAATTATTTATTTTTGAGATGGAATCTTGCTGTGTTGCCCAGGCTGGAGTATAGTGGTGCAATCTTGGCTCACCACAACCTTTCCCTCCTGAGTTCAAGTGATTATCCTGCCTCAGCCCCCCAAGTAACTGAAATTACAGACATGTAACACCACCCCTGGCTGATTTTCGTATTTTTAGTAGAGATGGGGTTTCGTCATGTTGGCCAGGCTCGTCTCAAACTTTTGAGTTCAGTTGATATACCCACCTTAGCCTACCAAAGTGCTGGAACTGCAGGTATAAGCCACCACACCTGGCCTATTTATTTACTTATTTTGAGACAAGTTCTCACTCTGTCACCCAGACTGGACTGCAGTGGCACAATCATGCCTCACAGCAGCCTTGACTTCCTGGTCTCAAGCAATCCCATTGCCTCAGCCTCCCAAAGTGTTAAGATTACAAATGTGAGCCACTGCACCTGGCCTTTTTTTTTCTTTTAAAAAATTATCACTTTTTTTCTAATTAATTTTTCCTTCTTTTATCTTTATGCATTCCTTTCTTCTCTTTCTTTTGGCTTGACTTTTCCTACTCCTGAAATTTTGAGTAGAATGTTTAATTTACTATTTTCATTCTTTCATTTTTTAATAAAATGAATATTTTTGGCTATGAATTTTCTTTCAAGTACTGTTTAAACTATATCCCATAAGATCTCATTTTATAGAGGGCCATTGAATCTCTATGTAAAAGTCTGTATTTTGGTCATAGAACATTGTTTCCTTTTTAATTTTGTGTAATCTGTTGAGTTATTCTTTATGATCTGTAATTTTTATTTTTCAAGAATTTTTCACGTGCAATTGGTCAGAAGCTATACTTTTACTATTAGCATGTATATCTCAATAAATGATGTAGCTATAAATATGATCTGTCTAGATATTCACATAATCCATTTACTCTTGACTTAAGACAGTTTTGTGGCAATAAATTCTCTTACCTTAGTGTGTTTCTAATGCATCATCTGTAGATCCTCTTTGATAAAAATGGTTTGCATATTACACAGCATTTAGGGATTTGTATCTGTTTTATCTTCGTTGTGAAAGTATAACATTATAACATAATAGCTCGTCTCATTTAATACTTTTAAGCCTTTATTTTTGATATGAAGTTATCTCTGCTTTCTTTTTTTTATTTTACTTGTTATTCTTTCATCCATTCTTTGATTTGTAGCCTCTCAAACTTTTTTAATGGTTCTCTTGTATGCAATACAAAGTTGCATTTTGCTGTCATTCTATCTGAAATTTTTTACTTTTAATGAGTTAAGCCTACAAACACATAATAATAATTAACTATGTAATTACTTTTTTGTTTTCTTTTGCTATGTTTTTTCAGCAATATAAAAGTTTATATTTTAGTTATAATGTTTACCTTCGTGTGAGTATCTCATTCTCCATTTTCCTTAGGAGTATCAATAGATTTCTAAAAGAAACAGATAAATATTCACTTGGTTCCTCTTCCTTCCCTCTTCACCACTTAGTCTTGATTAATCATATTGTCTTTTTTACAGCTCTGTTCTTACTCTTAAATATACACAAGTTTCTTGCATTCAAATGTTATCATTTGACTCCTAACTGCTACTTATTAGGCAATCTTCTATAACATTCTATTTCCCCATTTGTCTCTCTCTCTTCTGTTCCTACTTTTGTCTATTTTGTAAAGTACATATCTGTTATTTGATCTCAGTGCCCCCTTTCCTCTCTCCCGCTTTCTCCATCCTTCTTCCTGTATGTCTTCCTTTCTCTTTATAGAGTTTGACTTATTCAATGCTTAATTCCAAAATTTTATACAGAATCTCTTCAATTAGCTCATGTTCATCTAAGTATATTTTCTAAGAGATTGCTTAGGAAAGACTCATAAACTTAAATTCTTGCATGTTTATAATTGTTTTCTTAAAATCTTCAAAATTGAAAGAAACTTCCCCGGATAAAAAATTATTGCCTTACATTTTCTTCCTGTGTGTGTCCGGTAAATACTGTGCCATTATCTTCTTGCATTAAAGTTCCTCTCAAGAAGTCTGATGTCAATATAATTTTCTTTGCTTTATCAGTGCATTGTTATCTTTGATTGGAGGTCTATGATTTTTGCCTGTTTTCTTTAAAATCTTACAATGTGAGGAACATGGTGTTACCATCTAGTGTCCTAGGCCAATTTTCTCAGGTACACTGTGCATCTTTTTTATATGCAGAGCCAGGTATTTTTAAAAATGAAAGCTTTTTGTATTCTAATTTAAAAAATATTAGTTCTGTTTCTTTGCTTGGTCGTTTGTTATATCTTGTTCTTTATTGCTTCTTTTGGTACTCTTATTTTATAGAAATTGGATTTTCTTTGCTGGTTATGTACATTCCATCTTCTTTGTCTTTCTATCTTCTATTCATTTCTCTCTAACTGTTTCATTTGCCCATTTGGTCTCCTTTCTATCCTCTTGATGTCATTTACTACATTTTAAGTAATTTCTATTATCTTTTCTGTATCTTATATTTAGACTTAATATACAAGTTAATTTTGAATTATTTTCTTTCCCCAGCTTTGTCTTTTCCATTTAGCATCTATTACCTGTCTCTTTTCAAAGTTTAAATTTCTGTTTTAAAATGTTCTTTCACATCTAAAAACATCTACAATATCTTATTTTGTTATATTTTAAATTCTGGCAGTAATCTTACTTCTCAGCAGGTTTTGTCTTTGTCACTTAATGTGCATCCATTTGTGAAACTGTTTTGATCCTCATCTTCAGTTTTTCATGAATGCCATGATTTTATTTTTCTTATCCATATTTCATTCGCCTAGAATAATGACTAGGAAGATATTTCTTTCATGTGGCTGGTGGGTAGCAGGTGGCTTTTCTGAGATCTTATATCAAGGATTCTGCTTCTGTAGCAATAGGAAATGGCAGTTTTCAAATGTATGAAATCATTATTTAGTGGAGGTGCAGTTTGCTTTTATTTTCATATTATATTCTGTTCCAGTAGGTTGTTTGTCATCAGCTGCTTCTTTTTCTTTATTTATAATCAGCTGCTGACTCCAAATGCAACTGCTGCTACAGAAGTCACAAATTATCAGATAATTGAAAGTCCTCATGGGACCCCCCAGGACATAGTTTGTAAAGCTTTATAAAGGTAAAAGATATGCTACAGACACAGAGAGAAAGTGCAGACATTCATAGAGGAACAAGACTTATCAATGCAGCCCTGTAGGGTCCTGTCTCAGTCACATAGGATGTAGTTCGTCTTTGGTTTATGAACCTCCAAGGTAAATATAAGATACTTTGGCTTCGTGCTTGCTTTGGCAGCACATATACTAGAATTGGAATGATACAGAGAAGATTAGCATGGCTTCTACACAAAGATGACATGAAAATTTATAAAGCATTCCATATTTTTCAGGTTTCAAAATATCACAGTACCCCCAAAATATGTGCAACTTTGTGCATCCTTTTTTTTCAAAACACATACCTGATTTCATCTGTGAGTTCATTAGCTTCACTCATGCTAAGGTACAAGTTTGCTGAGGAGTCTTTTACAGCCTCCTCATCACATAGTTAAAACCTAGACTTTATGACTTATTAAACCACGTACAACTGTCAATCTATACACTTTCACTAAGCAGTGTAGATAACAAGCTAGTATAGCATGTCTCCAGGGGAATTTCAGATTTCATGCTGCACATTATACATAGACTGCTAGCTTATTTCATTTCTTTCTTTTTCAAAGGTCAATATTTGACTTCCAGGCTTCCTCAGAGACAAGCTTAAAACTACTCAACCAGCAGCAAATCATCCCAATTCGTAACTCTCTTCAAAGATATTTTCCCAGGACTGCCTTTCCAAGCCCCTTCTTTATCTTCCTATTGACTGTGCTATAGAGTCCTCTAAGCCCAACAAGGCGGTCAATAGTTTCTACTCAGGGTGTGGTTCTCTATTTCTGGAGGTAAACTCTTGATAATGTTTCCTGGATTTCACCACTGCTCCCCACTACTCACACATCTGTACAGCTCCCTCCAGACTCACATACAAATGTGGGCTCTGGTAGTCTTGGTTGCTTATTCCTTCTTTTACCCATAAATCAGAAGTTTCTCTGATCTAGAGAAACTTCATTATCCTAAGGTAACTTGGAACTACCTAGCTTCCTTTTTAACCATCAGGGCTGATTGGATTTCAGTGGCAAAAGAATACTCTTTTCTGCTACATTTTTCCTTTTAGGAGTATTATATATCAACCTTGTTTTTTTTCTTCTGTTTTCCTCTAGTCTTTTCAATCTGGTGCAGAAAAATTCAAAATACAAACTGCTTCCCCAATTGTTTTCTTTTGATCACTGTTGAAGTGGTGCCAACGCTCAGCTGCATCATTTGTGTCTCATTGCTTTTCTTTTCAGTACTTGAAATTAGTTTTCCTAAAATGTTCTTTAGATTGCACATTGGGTTTTTCCTCTGGAAAGACACAGAATTTAATAAATTCTGTTCCAACAAAGGCATCCATTAATTAAACAAATGATGACACTCTCACCTTTCTAAGTTGTATTCCATGCAGATGTTACCTCCCATCAGATCAACATCTAATCCAAATCTGTTCTCAGTGCAGTAGTGTCCTCCATGACTTTCATAATGACGACCCATGTCCTTTTTCTGGAAACCTAACATTGTGAATTCTTCAGACCGCTCCCCTTAGCATACTTGCCAAATCTGTCTATATTCATACAGTAGCTCTGTCAATTTAAAACTCAGTGAAATGATGCTCAGATATTCCATATCTATTGATGAAGACTTCATTTCTAAAATATGTCGAGATTTTATGAAACTGTCTAGTTATTGATCCTAATTATCCAAAGGAGTCATCCCAGGAGTTTTTCTCTGGTTTCCTGTTTTCAAACTGCCTCTCAAGTCATCTCATCCAAGTGTGGACTCTAAGGTCTTCCCATTTTTATATTCTTGAAAGGGTGGTCTGTTAACCCATCATAATAACATATCTGTTTCCTTACTCCAACCTTATTAATACCCAGGGCTGTGGATATCTCCATTTCTCTTTTATATACATCGAGTCTGTCCAACCAGATAGCAGTATTTATCCTCATCCTTAGGCATGTCTTTCATTATAATCTTCTTTATTTCTTATACTACTTCCATATTAATTGTAACAAAATAATTTGCTTTTAAAAAGCTGACCTTGGGAGGGGGGACTCAAGATGGCGCTGTGAGAACAACCCAGGATTGGAGCCCGTGTTGAATTCGCAAACGGTGAGTCAGTGCTGCATTTCCAGACTGATCTTTGTTGCCCACAGAACGGGGAAACTCCCAAGTATAAAAAGACACGGGACGCCAGGCAGTAGGTCTGCCTGGCGAAGCCGGCAGCCGGGGCAGGCGGCGGCCGGCCCTACCCAGCAATCCCCACAGGGCGCGCTTGTCCGGGTGCCTTGTTGAACCGGCAACCTGAGACTTGAGAGGGCTGGACTTGAGACTGAACGAGACTTGCACGGTAGCCCAGCCCAGGGGATTGCAGGGACAGATCGTTTGGGATACCCAGTGGGACGAACAAAACCGCGATTTCAAACTATCCCGGGCAGACTGTCCGAGACGCTCTGTGGGGGAGGGGCGTCCACCACCATGGAGGCAACCTGCCCCAACTGATATACACGCCCACTGCTGAGGCAGCCAGCTGTTGCCGAGGCAACCCGCCCCAACTGAGATACACGCCCACTGCTGACGCAGCCAGCCGTTGCCGAGGCAACCCGTCCCTACTGAGATACACGCCCACTGCTGACGCAGCCTGCCGTTGCTGAGGCAACACGCTACAACGAAAAGACTCCGCCACAGGGCGTGGCGGAGACCACAGCAGAGCCTGCAGGAACAGCGCGAATCACACAACAGCAGGGCGGAGCCTCGGCAGCCAAACAGTGGCTAGTCTGCCTTTGAGCTGGGCAGGACACCTGATCGGACATCCAAAAATAAAGCCCAAACCCCTCAACACAGAGCATTTGAGAAAAAAAAAAGGGTTGTTTAATGAGCTGTGTTGCAGCAGAATCAAACATAGCAGCCTAACAGCCCTGAATGAACAACAGAGTGCACAGCTCAGCAATTAAACCCCTATAAAGTACAAACTGTCTCCTCAAGCAGCTCCCTGACCCCTCTATATCCAAAAGACTGTCATCAGGCAGGCATCATCCTGGGACAAAGAGAGCAGAAAAAGAAACTGGTAGCATCCCTCGCTGTGCCACGGCTACTAGAGGTGCACCCCAGACAAGCAGGGTCTGGAGCGGACCTCAACAGTCATACAGCGAAGGGGCTAGACTGGTAGAAGGAAAACCAAGCAACAGAAATACTTCATCATCAACATTCTGGGTGTCCACTCAGAGACCCAAACGAAAAGTCAGCAACTACGCAGACGACCAGCGGACAAATCCACAAAGATGGGAAGAAACCACCGCAAAAAGGAGGAAAACACCCGAAACCAGAACACATCGCCTCCTAGAAAGGACCAAGACTCCTCACCAGCAAGGGAACAAAGCTGGACGGAGAATGACTGTGACGAAATGACGGAATTAGACTTCAGAAGATGGATAATGAGAAACTTTTGTGAGCTAAAAGATCATGTATTAAATCAATGCAAAGAAACTAAGAACCTTGAAAAAAGATTTGAAAAAAGATTCGAGGAAATGATAACAAGAATGGATACCTTAGAGAGGAATATGAATGAATTAAAGGAGCTGAAAAACACACTACGAGAACTTCGTGAAGCAAACGCAAGTTTCAATAGCCGAATTGACCAAGCAGAAGAAAGAATATCTGAAGTCGAAGACCAACTCAATGAAATAAAATGAGAAACCAAGATCAGAGAAAAAAGCGCAAAAAGGAATGAACAAAGTCTCCAAGAAATGTGGGACTATGTGAAAAGACCTAACCTACGTTTGATAGGTGTACCAGAAGGGGACGAAGAGAATGAATCCCAGCTGGAAAATACTCTTCAGGACATCATCCAGGAAAATTTCCCCCACCTAGCAAGACAAGCCAACACTCAATTGCAGGAAATACAGAGAACACCACAAAGATATTCCGCAAGAAGAGCAACCCCAAGGCACATAATCGTCAGATTCAACAGGGTTGAAATAAAGGAGAGAATACTAAGGGCAGCCAGAGAGAAAGGTCGGGTCACCCACAAAGGGAAACCCATCAGACTCACAGCAGATCTCTCGGCAGAAACACTACAAGCCAGAAGAGAGTGGGGGCCAATATTCAACATTCTTAAAGAAAAGAACTTTCAACCCAGAATTTCATATCCAGCCAAACTGAGCTTCAGAAGTGAAGGAAGAATAAAATCCTTTGCGAACAAGCAAGTACTCAGAGATTTTGTCACCACCAGGCCTGCTTTACAAGAGCTCCTAAAAGAGGCACTACACATAGAAAGGATCAATCAGTACCAGCCATTCCAAAATCACACTGAATGCTAAAGAGCTTCAACATAATGAAGAATCTACAACAACTAACAGGCAAAACAGCCACTTAGAATCAAAATGGCAGTATCAATTTCACACATAACAATATTAACCCTAAATGTAAATGGACTAAATGCACCAATCAAAAGACACAGACTGGCAAATTGGATAAAAATCCAAAACCCATCAGTGTGCTGTATCCAGGAAACCCATCTCACATGCAAGGATACACAAAGGCTCAAAATAAAGGGATGGAGGAAGATTTACCAAGCTAATGGAAAGCAAAAAAAAGCAGGAGTTGCAATTCTCATCTCTGATAAAATAGACTTTAAAGCAACAAAGATCAAAAGAGACAAAGAAGGCCATTACATAATGGTAAAAGGATCGATACAACAAGAAGAGCTAACGATCCTAAACATATATGGACCCAACACAGGAGCACCCAGATACATAAGGCAAGTTCTTAATGACTTACAGAAGGACTTAGACTCCCACACAATAATAGTGGGAGACTTTAACACTCCACTGTCAATACTAGACAGATCAACCAGACAGAAAATCAACAAGGATACCCAGGGCTTGAACTCAGACCTGGAGCAAGCAAACCTGGTGGACATTTACAGAACTCTCCACCCCAAATCCACAGAATACACATTCTTCTCAGCACCACATCACACCTACTCTAAAATTGACCACATAATTGGAAGTAAAGCACTGCTCAACAAATGCAAAACAACTGAAATCATAACAAACAGCGTCTCAGACCATAGTGCAATCAAGTTAGAACTCAGAATTCAGAAACAGACCCAGAACCGCACAGTTTCATGGAAACTGAACAACTGGCTCTTGAATGTTGACTGGGTAAACAACGAAATGAAGGCAGAAATAAAGAAGTTCTTCGAAACCAATGAGAATGAAGACACAACGTGCCAGAACCTCTGGGACACATTTAAAGCAGT